GCACTTGTGTTACCATATCTCCATTGAACTGGTCTTCACTGAACTCATCCTCACTATTGAAGTCTCCGTTAGAAAGTTGTCTATAGTTTGGTCGCCGAGTATTCCTCAAACTCATACCAATCGATCGCTTCGGTTCAGCCCTCATCTCATGACATGTATTGGCGTTTGTATTGGCCTTTGATTTGGGTTTCAATTGATTCCCAGAATTCACTGAAAAGTTCTGTTTGACGGATAACTTATCGCCACTTGAGTTGCCATTAGTGTTGACACTAGTCTTGTTGACCTGAGCCGAGGAAGTACTGGTGGTGTGAGTGGAAGCACTGGGCATCGTATGGTTGGCCACATCGACCACCGCTGACTTATTGAAGTACTTCTCGAGCCCTTTGATGAGCAGAGTCTGTGCGCTCTTCGACAGAGAGGACACCTGTTCGACGGGAACCACTACTTCGCCCCGATAGAGGAACTCCACGATCGCCTTCAGGTCCCGGAACGGCATGTCTTTGATGATGAGAACCGGGAACTGAAACGGATTCTTGAATTCCTTGAATATATCGGCGAAATAAGTGGATCCGGCGCTCAGCACCACTTTATGCGCTTTGATGGACCGGCCCTCACATGTGAGCATCACATCAACCATGGATTCGTTGCGCAGATAGTCTTCAAAGGCGTTCATCATATCTGTCTTATGGTTACTGTACTCCAGACAAAAGGCTAAGTTTGCAGAGTTTGCCATATCTGCAGATCACAAACAACACACTTATGGCTCTATCGTTGGATACAATGATTGTCAAAATCAGTGATATCTCTGTTGGACTCAATTGAGTGCAAGTTATAAATGGATTCAATGGTAGACAACACGTTAGACCATTGGATACATATGTGTGGTTTGACTGACTCGGGGTCACTGAGAGGTCAGAGGATACAGTATGAACTGAGTCTTATAGAGTCTTATTGAGTGAATAGTCACTTGAATACTGACTCAAGTTTGTCATGTGTTCCCCAGTATTGCAATTTTCAATGCTTTTCCTATAGGCCTGTGCTATGATTACCGGTATTTCAGTACAGAGTACACATATACTCTCGTCTTATATGAAACCTATTGACAGGTATTCACAAATATTATGGATTATTTGGTGGATATATACAGTAATTATAGCAACTTTAACTCACCATTTAATTTAAATCTTATCAAAATATACTAAACTAAACAATCAAAGAATACTGTATTTGCAAACTTTTATATCGAGTACAGTATCAGGACTGAGGGGGAAGGTTAGGTTAGGTTAGGTATTCCTATGTTACAGTAATACTATTATGGGCTTTCAATAGGGAGATTTATATGAAAATATCCAACTACACCCCCAATTTGGAGCCCCAACCCATTGAATTTAAGAGTACAATCAGTTATTGTCAATAACTGAACACATTTTAAACTTATTTTCACACATTAGTTACAATTGTCACAAAACTAAAATTAAATTTATTCATTTATAAATACAAAATAAGAATCCAATAAAATATTTTACAGTAATTACAAGTACGGCAATACAATAATATTCAATGATAATGAATGATTCATTATAAATGATTTAATTTTATTTTAGATTGAATTTTAAATTCAAGCAATTCTTACATTAAATATTTGTCATCTCTTTCACTAATAAATGGATTTAATAAATGAAAACTTATTTAAAAGAAATCTTTAGCTCTATTCCTATTTTTCTTAATCGAGAATTCACTGATTCGTGAGTTTATATCCTTTTGAATCACTTTTTCACTCAACTTAGGCGTCACTGGAGAGTCAAATGGCGTTAATCTACTACTACTGGAGTCGGAACCGGGAGTCCGGAGAGGGGTTCTCACCCGAGCTCTGGCCGGAGAATAGCTGGCCATCAGTGAGTGGTCAGCATTCCTGTGAACGCCTAACTTATTTGTGGCCAACTTCTGGGCCGCCGGAGACATACTGTTCAGCCTTTCGAGTGGTGTTTTGGATGAGCAGAAGGCGGGGGACGACCCTCTGAGCGACGACCGAACCCTTTCGATGGCAGACCTCTTCTTATCCTTATTCTGTTGAGTGTTTCGCGCGGCTAAAGACAGACCAATCTTTTCCCTTTGAGGCAAATCAGGTATTTTGAAGTGAGAGGCGCCGGGAGTTAGTGTCGGGTGCAGTGGTGTCTCCGAACCGGACAAACTGAATGGCGTTCCCTCGATCTCACCCCAAGTCATGAGCGGCGACTCAGACAACAGGTGAGGGTTTGGCGTCGGAGTGGAGGCGACGAACTTAAAGCCATTGATTTGTGGCGTATCTCTTGTGACCAACTCTTTGCCGTCGATTCCGATTTTGCCCTCTTTTTGGCGGTGATTCAGGTGAGCGGCCATTGCTATTGTCTTCTGATTGATCCGTTCATTGAATGGCAATCTCTCGAAGCGGGTGTTCGAGTGGTCCACAGACGGGCCCTCACTGTACGCCAGCTTCTGGTGGTCAGTGATTGCGAGCGCCGACGGGTTATACATCACTGAGTTCTGGTTCTTGTAATTCCAAGTGACCACAGATGCGCTGCAATTGGCCTTATCATCGATGGCCTGCCTCTCAATGGACGGCAGTTCCAGTAATTTGTTCACCGAATCGTTGTGTTTGGAGACGTCTTTGTAGAGCCACTCATACTTCTGTCGATGTCTTCTCATCTCCTGTTCCTGGATTTGCTCGAAGGAAGCGTTGTCTTCAGAGGTGAACCGATTCAGGAACTTATCTAACGATACATTCTTCGGCTCATCGTCTTCGCCATCATTCAACTCATTCATCAGCTGTTTATCACTTCCAATGCCATCAGTGGTGATGTCTTGAGAGCTGGAGGTGTGAACGGGTGTCTCAAAAGTGGTCGGACTGTGCGATGGGTTCAGAGGTCTGTCGACAGCAAAGCGTCGTTCACTCATGAGATGGTTGTCTTCATATGACTGCAACTGTCTTCTCATTTGTGGTAAATCCGGATAATAGTCCCTTTCGATGATAGACTCAATGTGTTGGACGTACACGTCTTCGGCCAACACTTGTTTCCGTTTCTTCTTCACACCTGATGTGGACATGGATTCGGTGTCCAAATCGTCAGTTTGTTGGTCATCGCAAGCCATGTCTTGGAGGGAGTGTTTGGCACTCATTGTGACAATCGTTGAGATGATTACAAGTTTGTTGTCGTTTTCAGTAATGTTTACGACATGTCAACGCATGTCCAGTCAGTGCACACTTTATGAAATTATCAAATCCTAGTGTAGTTTACCACTTATATGCTTACGAGCTTCACTGCACCACACTGTTGTACTTTCAACGCAGTTACATTGTATTGCAGTTAAGCATACCTTTGATAATAGGGGTATTAATAAGGTTTAAATCTTCATTAACATTGCATCTGATATCATACTGTATTCTACAATATACCGTAATCATTATTCTCCAACGTTTAACTTATGAAACATACGGTAAGTTATACGGCACAGTATAACACATACCGGTATTATTTTAAATTTATACGGTTTCAAAGTCATAATTAACATTTATTAAATATAATATGATATAAAAATAAAATGGTTCGCAATTTATTTCTAAATATTCTCAATATTGTTAACATTATTATGATATGAATCTCAAAATACTAAGAGGAAGACGAGACGTACAAAAATATTCACAAATTTATAGTTAGAATAAAGCTTTTTAAATAAAAATATATAAATAAAATTTTCTTAATTCATATATCTATTTACAAATTAATTAATACTTCAAATAATGGCAATTATCTTATAAAGCAATTCTGTTATCAAGTCTTGAGCGCCAATTGCGGGTCAAACGCCAACACTCTTGAATAGATATCCTCATCAGCGACACCAACGCCAAGAGATCGGCAATCATTACCATATAAAACACATTATCCCATCCCGTCTCTGACACCCGACCCGCTAGTAGTGGACCGATAGCAGCACCTGAAGACAAACATCAATATTACTGACTGTTACTCACTTAACTTCACAAACAATTACATACCAATAGATCCCGTGCCGTCGATTATGGCGGTAACAGTAGCCAAGGCGTGACTATTAGTCACTTTTGTTCCCAACTCTGCCGATACGGCTGTAGTGATAAGAGCGTAGGGGCCGTTCACAAATGCGCCAGCTAATATTTGTAGTAAAATATTTGCCGATTCCGATGCTATTCCGTATAATTGATATAAAAATAACTAAAAACAAAATTTAAATAATTAATCAACAATTAAACCCAATTGCAATCAATAATACCGAAGGGATGGCACATAACAACATAACTGAACAAATGAGAGCACTCGCACCCGTCTTATCTACGAGATGGCCGGCAACCACTGCCCCCACAATGCCTCCCAAATCAAATGGAGTGGACAGGTATGCCGAGTCGGAAGAGGATGAGTCGGCTATCAATTGAAAAACCAAATTAATTTTTCAAGTAAAACACAAATTTCTAATAACTATCTATTACTGGAAGCGCCGATATATTTGGGTAACCAATAGAGGAATGTATAGCTGACCAGTTTGGCGAAGAACAGACACAATGAGAACTCAATCACTCCCTAAAAGTGGTATAAAATACATTCAATGAGACAATTGAATTGCTATTCAAATAGACATCAATTACAGGAATCTTAAGAGCTGTGACGAAAGAGATGGCCTGTTTGTCGGTGCTCTCCATCGCTGAGTCATTGGCCGAAAGCAATGGGTGCTCCTCTTCGTCCATCTAATCATCCAATCAAATCAAATGTCAATTAAATAATCACCACTTCTTGGCGCAAATAAGACATTAAGACAATATATGCCGGAAGCAAACGTACGACAATGGAGTCATTGGCCTCATCCATGGGCTTGAGTTTGCGGCGCTGGTGTTGTTGGCGCTGCTCCCGGGACTGGGACTGCGATGTGGATGACGAGGAACAGGTGCTCGAAATACTCTCGTTGTTATCAGTATAGCCCGTGTTTTCGCTGATGTTATTAAACGATTCCTTTATACAAATAATGGCTAATCATTAGAAAAGACATTCAGAATATCATTCACTCGCTGAACACATACTCTAACTCTTCGGTTGCTGTCGATATCGAAGGATGAAATGCCCACTTCTTCTGGATCTGTAAATAGTTTAACAAATAGTTATAATAATGAAAGCATTTGGATGTCTGAGCGCTCACAGGGTGTGAAGAACAGGAACAGTATAAAGCCGGCGGCGCTCACGATAATAGCGGGCACTATGAAACTGAGTCCCCAATTATATTCAACGAAATAGCCGGCAATGACTGCCCCCAAAATGTTGCCCACATTTGTGTGCGAATTCCAAATGCCAAATATGAGTCCTCGCGATCCCTTTCCAAACCAATTGCCAACTGATGACACCACCGCTGGCCAGCCCGTTGTCTGTAGAGCACCTGTGCGTCGATTCAATCTTTTTAATGACATTCAAACACCGCATATGAGAGTGCAAGACATGATTACCGCATATGATTTGAATGATGATAAAGTAGTAGAAGGAGTGGATGTCATAATAGAAAGCAATGCCAAAGGCATAGGTGAAGAGTCCGCTCAATAACATTCGGTTACTGTCCTTTATAGAATTTACTGTAGAAAGCCGCTATTTTGGGCTCTTTTTGTACTTATAGCGCATACTCTTGTCTTTTGAGCTCAGGTTTTCTGGATTAAACATGTGTTTAAACAATTAAAAGAACAGTTTTATGAATATATTTTAATTTTGTAATCAATTATGTCATTCTGTAGATATGCATTCAATAAATTGACAAATAAAATGAATTTATATTTAAATGTCTGATTAAAATTAAATAATGACCAAAATGCAAAAATGCAAAGTGCAAAAATGACCAGGTACAGTACTAGAATAATTCCTATTTGTATGTGTTTTAATTGGAATTCAATATACGGTATGATATAGTATTTATTGAAATTTTAAGTTAATTAACAACAACTTCTAAATTAGCTTTTAGTCTGCAATTTTGCCTGAAACCAGTATAATACTAAAAACTAAAATAATTATCAATTTAATTCGTTATTGTGATAAACATTTGATAAATTGTTTTCATTAGGTTCTCTAATAAGTCAATAGTGACCAATATCTTTTACTATTGTTTTATCAACGCTATTCGGTATGTAATTTTCATAGGCAATTAGCGTTGTTTACAGAGAAACAAACGCCTTATCTCTATTCTCTGTTAAGCCATCAGAAGACCATTGAATGGGAGGTGTTGTGGGTATGTTTGGGATCTGTACTTCCTATTGGATAGTCATTATGCATAACCACGAGACCAACTGATGACAATCAAAAGGACAACACATTCACTAATTGAACGCATGATAATTAACTCCAAACATGTTATCTAAAGATAACCGAAAACTTAAACTTTTCAAAACAGTTGAGATTAATAAGTGAAAGATTTGTTAAATAATTCAAATCTAATCATAACAAATCAGATTATTCTTTAAACAAATTCAAAGTACTGTATTGAACCAAATCCTTTATATGATTGACACAAATACTAGCAATTATCGGCAAATTAAGAATTTTTATTTAAACTATTCCTAATTAAATCGATACTCATTTTTAACGACAATCTCATTATACTGTAAGTCTGTTTAAAGTCTATAAACTGATTCTCTATTTGCCGGCAAAATTAATTTCAATAAAAACTTTCCGGAAGTATTGCGCTCCCAATAGTTAGTCCCTAAGAAAGCCTCTCAATTATCGTCGGATGTATTCATTATATTCATTCATGTATTGAGAATCTGTTCACTACTTTATCTCAAATACACAAAAACTATTTTCTAACGAATGACTTCATACAACATTACAGCCAATGAAATATTATATGTATAATCGATAAGAGCCTTCCTATTCATTATTACACAAATGAAAGCAAAAATAGCCAGTAATTTTGAGTATAAAGTTCCTAAACTCTGGACTAAACATTAGTTATGTGATTTTCCCTAATTAGTTTGTTTTTCAATAAAAATGTGTTTAGTTATCTTTACATATCATAACATTTGTATGTTATTTTCATGATTACTGTATATTGCTTATCATAACTTCATTAAGAGTACTCAAATTTCACGACACTTTAACGCACAAACGATTTTATACGCAAAATAGCGTAATTAAGTGCAAAACACTAGAAATTATAATTCAATTATATATATATACAGTAGATATGGCAGTAATATTAGTGCTAATTATGCGGTCATTTCTAATCAGAAGAATGTCACTAGCTGGGTACTTTAAATGACACATACAGTACACCCTTTAATCTTAATAAGTATACAATGGTAATGGACTGCTTCGGTTGAGGTTTAGGTGATTATTAATTTGGTATATAAGAAAAACCTATCATTTTGGTCATCACCGGTAAAAATGGATAATTTGATAATTAACTTAGGTTAAATACCGTGATTTGATATCGAAATAAATACTATAAAGTGAGTGTGAGATTTATAATTTAGTTTAACATAAAATTAATGATTATTTTAGTTCTATAAACGCTAATTATTGAATAAACTATTAGCGAAACAATAAAAAATTTTATATTAAAGACATTATGAAAATATGATAGAAATAGTGCTAAACAACAATCTTATCATTTAATTACATGTAATAAACTCTACAGACATTTAGCCATCAATGAAATGAGACACAAATGACAGACATATGTGTGGACAGGGAGGCAGTGTATGGCATACCTAACAGCGTGTTAGCATCGGATCCATTAAAGGGCTGCCAATCGCACCAATTGTATTGAGTGGTGTTTGTGATGATCACGTCTTGAGGTACGATCACTTGGGAACAGTTGCGACTCAACACGTTCTTGACGACACTGAGAGGGCGTCGGGACAAGTGGTAGGCCGTGTATGCCATGAATGTGAGCACCAGAACCAGCACTCGGTATGTGGACAGACGGAGGTGACGGTCCAGACCACACACCCGCACACCTATGGGTAGCCATACCGTCGACATCACACACCCACTGCTATGTCTTCACAAACGATATCACAGTCACTGTCTCTGTCACCACTCACTCACCCACTACTTGCCCATCGTTTCACTAATGGTTAGCAAAGAAGTTGTGCACAGATTTGATGGTTAAGTGGCGTTCAGACGAGCCTTCACTCAATATTTGATGATTTCTCTCAACAAACACTTCAATCGCTTTTCATAGCATTAAATCACATATCAATGAGTCGTTTATCGCAAACACATGCGTTCGACAGTTCCCGTACACAACACAACTCAACCCAAACGCACAGTCTATGTATGGCAACAGTGCTGGCAATAGACGGCAATTGTGGCAAAATTAGGCAAACTTTCTCTAATTACAAATTCAAACAAATCTGCTCAGGGTGTTCACTATAACCGAGTTGATTACATAAAATAAATACACTATAACAGAAATATAGACACTTTGAAACATTTATAACCCATAAAACATGTGTGCCATGAGTGCCGGCAATATGTTCATGAACTCTCGAAACTCTATGATCTCATGAGTCAATGGCGCCAAACATATGAGTGGTTTGAGAGGTTGAGTGGAAGCGCTGTAACCACACTGTGATCATCTCGTCAACTATCACCTGATAACCACTATTAATAGACATGTATTAGCCCACCATTTACTGTGTATAACAGGTCCGACAGTTTAGGGACAATGGATGCGGTGATGAAACGCCGGCGACTGTTGTCTCAGTCAAGACATGCACTCATTTGGTCCGCTATTAACGCATTCTTCGCCGCAATGCTTGCCATCGATTTGTATGGATTTAATGCTAACATGTCTTCATTATCTCAATTAATCTCAATTCAAATTTACAGTAAATTATCGATTATTGCCGGCATTTTCGCCACAAATGTCTTCATATTTCTGGTCTATTCGTTGGGTCTGTTTTACCACTCATTTGAAGCCATAAATTAATTATCAATTAAACTCTTCATCAAAAAACAGATCTAATCGTATGTTTGGTATTACTTCTGAATTGTGTATACAATCTGTGTCTTTGGCTGTGGAGGAAGTATTTCATGACTGACATGGAGTTGACATCCAATCAAATGAAAGCGTTTGGTGTCAAAGACAATGAGATTGGTTTCAAAGAATGCAAACCAATCGCTGGTCAGCCATCGGTCGAACCCTTTAGAGTGGGTTCGCCGACACTTCCCATCTTCGAGATGAGCACTGCCTCTGATTTCGACAAACATTTGTCTCTCAATTCGACCCAATTATCCGAAGGCCTCAACTGGACTCTGGACTCATCGATGGACACGACATCGCATTCGTGGCAATTCCAGAGCCATTTGTCTCCCAATGCGAGCCAAGACATGAGTAACGGATCCAAAGGCGGATTCGTTCGACACAGAAGAACTACAAACAAAGCAAATACCAGCGAATCGTTTGTGACTAACGAGCGAGAGTTGGATCACTATCTGAAAGACTTCGAGCAAAGGGAACAACGAATGGAAGAGTTGTCTGAATTGGATAAACGGCGACAAAACAACAGTTCCACCTCCGGATGGACACAAACTCTTGCGCCGGCCGTTGACGAGTCCAATGAATACGCCTATCAGTTCGCCATTGAATCGCCTCTTCGGCTCAATAACTCTGAGTTTGATTCCATCAACAGCTCTCCCTCTTCTTCCAAAGCTATGGATTCGGTCTTTAGATTCAGATGTAATTTAATTATTGAATTTGTTTTGACTTTTATTTTCATTATTAAACAGTTGTTAACAAAACTGAAAATCGATGAAATCGTTATGAATCAGTGGATCGAGAATATTCGCAAATGGATTAGTCTTACGATTCTGTGCCGAGTTGTCGAACAGATGGACAAAATCAATGACTTACTCGTCAAAAGCGGACATTTAGATACAGTCATCGGTGGTATGATTTAGTGTCCATTCAATTAATTTTAAGTGAACTAAACTTATTTTTATCAACTTTAAGAAACTAGTGTCCAAACACTCAAACAAATTATTGCTCTGAAAAAGCCTCAGTTATCGAGTTTAGAGAGTTTTCTACCATTTCTTGAGCTCACATCTAATCAACAATATTTGGTCCAAAGAATTAGAGGTTTTTCAATTGCAAACAGTTTTAATAAACATTAATTTAAACATTTATTTTGATGGACGACAGAGTTATCAAAAGGTGGATCTATTAATAAATTTCAGTGGAATTCTGGCGGTACCTATAATTTGAAGCCATGGACCGATGAATTGGTCACCGATTCCGCCGTAATTGCCCCACAATTATGTTGTTGTATCTCTTATTCTTATATTAATTTCATTCACAGATAATAATGCACTTGTTTTGCACGTATATGGATCTACGGTTGCCCTCAAACCCCAACAGCCCTGATGGGAAAGCCTTCACTAATTTGTATTATAAAACCCTTTCAGGTATTGATAATTACGGCGATTATGAGTGACTAATTGAATAGTGTTGTGCTTTGTTAGGACCCGTGCCTAAGAGTCCGATCTACATATTAGAGGCCAAAGCGAATGCCCCGCACTTTAAAGTGTACACTAAAGAGGATGACGTGTGGGAACTGCCCATCGGTCGCAACAATTTGTTTCATTCACTGCTTGTATTCCTGCACTGCATTAAGAACGAACAGTTGGGATATTTAGGGTATGAGTGCTTTTTCAATGAACTAATCACCACATAATATGAGACTAATACTACACTGACTCATATAACAGCCTAACTTTTTAATCTAAAAGCATAGGATATAACTTTTAATTCATAATTTCAATGCAATTATCATTATATCCCAAACAGACGCATCAATTTGGGCTCATCTGGAATCAACATCTTATGGGTTATTGAATAAAACACTAACCATTATTTGCTCATTATTTGATTAATTTGACATTAAAACAAGTTTTAAAGTTTAAACCAATAAAAGTATTTCAACTTTTTTTAGTTCAACTTTTCAAAGGATACAGTATTTTCATTGAGTGTTTTTAGATTGAAATATTTTATATTAAATTCGCATTAATTTCATTACTGTTTGATATAACGCTCTGTTTTATGTGTTTTATCATATAATTTACTATAAATTGTAACGACTTTCAGTTCACTCTGTATTTGATTTGATATATAATTATCTCACTTAAAGTCATACCTACTATTAGGCGGGGAATGAGAGCGTAACTGAATGCCAGACATGAATGTAATTATTTTTTCTAAAGCCCTAAAATTTTCTCAAGTCTTACAAATACTCGCAATTTGTTTAAAACATATATTTTATTATAAATAATGCGAATATTTAGTGGTTTGTAGTAATTTATAAATGATTTGTGATTAATATGTCAAATGAATAGAAATGAGTTTTGAATGAGAATTGGTTTCCATACGAATGGTTCCGAAATAGAGTTGACATGAGATGACAGCTTAAAGATTGGTTTCTGCCACTGGATCTCCTCTGCCGACGCGACCCATACTATGAGTCAGACCATTGGGGTAGTTGTTGGCCGCAGACATGGATGACCGGCCCAATAGGTCCACATCTCTCGCATCGTACGAATCCAAGCGATTGATTAGTATTTTCGCGTTGGACTGTCGGCTCAATTCATTGGCAAAAAGTCTCCAATTATTGCTTTCATTGATGTCTTCTTCGAGATCCGAAAGCCTGGAGTCGGTGTCGTCGTTGTACACAGTGTTTGGCCGATTCAATGGTAGAACCGTTAGGTTCTGAGGGATGCCATCAGTCATATCTGGATGTTGTGAATGTTTAACATTGGTTTTGTCCAAACCATTTGGTCCTATAGTGTAGACATTGGCATTGACGGCGTTGCCAGCGATGGTCACTGAACTGATTTTGCCGTCTTTGAGATCTCTATAGCTGGGATACCTGTGCTTCAGTTGCACCGCTAGTCTCTTGTTCTCGACCTCCTCTATAGTGTTAGGCAATGGTTTCCGATAGCATGTGGGGAGCAGTAGAGACAGACCTCCCGCTACCACTGATAATGAACCGCATAAACCAATCGGAATGAACGGTGCGATTAATTGTGACTATGAAAACATATTCACCATTTAGTACAGGGTTTGATTTAGCCATGTATTGAGTCAATTAATTACCAGCACCAGTAGGTGTGGGGCAGCCATTTGGCCGATTTTACTCCAACTAAAACACGCCGCCAGACCTACCGCTCTGTTCAACAAATTATAATAATATTAATTTAATTAAATATTTAATATACAAATATAATAATCGATAATTAAGTTTATAAAGTTAATTATTTTTAAATGACCTTTTAGATAGTTTTGATAGACTAGTTTTGAATGAGTCTAGTAATTTTTTTAAAAATTGTATTTAATTTAATCTTTAATCTAAATATCAGTCTAAAATAATTTAATCAAATTAACTTTAATTTGTTTTTCATAAAATTATGTTTCGTAACATAAATAATCTGCCAAATCAAAATTAGTTTTTAAAAGGTATTAGTTATAGCCTATTACACTATCAATTAATGATTACATTATCCAAATTCTTGTATAAAACTTGATGTTATGTATGATATAATCATCTCATATAAAAAGATTGCTTTGTATTACAATTATCAATAGTCAAGTTCAAATTAAATATAAAATAATTTTTAATACTAAACGAAAACAATTAGATAATTGTATTTACAAATATTATTAATTTTATTTACAAATTAATCCTTTAAAGTGCATATCATTCAGTGTACAGAAAGTTCAATGAAATGCAAGAAACAGGAAAACATTGTTATGTTAAGTGAGTGTTGGAAAAGTGTTCACTGAAATCATTGCTTAACTTCATTACAAAAGTTTAAACTATTAGCTGCTAAACAGTTGATTGCATTTAAATTCGTGTCAAATGGCAATAATTATATAAAAATAGTCCTTAATTCGTTCACACTTTCAGGTTTTCTATATTTATCCCACAATTGTGAAAATAATCAATATTTCACTGAATATTTCTCAATAGAGGTAAAAGTTTTTATGAAGTAAATGATATAAAGTTATGAAAAAAGTTTTATAAGTTAGAACTTTTCTTATGGGAAAGGAATTATGGATTCAATAAATTCATAAGTGAAAGATTGCATACCTGACCCCAGTAGGCAAGGTCTTTGCCGCGTGAAACCATGTAAGTGCCGGCAAACAGATGGTTAGAGTTCTGGCCATTAATACAAGACTCGACGGCAATAACAAGAGTCGAAAATCAAAATCCAATGGAACTGTTAGACCCATACAAACAACTATTAATATTGTATTTATTTCTCATTCACTGTAAAGTTTAGAAAATTAATTATCGCAGTTTTAAAACATTCACAGTATATCTCATATAAATTATTCTTAAGCAAACAAATTAGTTTTTTAATTAAAAATTACTAATAAAATGTTAAGTAAATAACTCATTATCTTTAAAACTTTATTATCTCTAAAAATGTATTTACTTTAGAACACAAATCAATCAATAATATCGTAATTATTTCCTAAAACTAATGTCTTGTATGACTGACACCACTCACCATTAGTGTCGTGACTCTTAGGAAGCATTTCTTGGAGTGTAATCGATGTCATTAGCATAAGTCCGGACACTATGAACACAAATGCCTGTATAAACCGCGGTCCAATCCTAGATACAAACAACACAAACCATTCATAACTTCATAATTATCTGCAAACCCACACATATAACCAATAAGTTGTTGCGGTGACATACCTGACCGCGAAGTGGTATAACAACATAACGGCCCCCAAATCCATGAGCGCGCTATAGAACTGATGGGCGTATCGGTTCTCATTAAGTCTTATAGTCTGCGGTTCAGTGACATGAGTGGTGAGCGCCACCACAAAGAACAGGTAGAAGTGGACAAACAGATGCCATCGGAGTCCAGGGGACGACAACTTCGGTAGTATTCGGTGGCGCATAGACTGGGCAGCGGATGAGCTCTTCACACAACTCAACAGATTCTGGAGATGGAGTCGAAAACTGGGAGAAACGGTGGCGCCGTTGTGTTGGGCCAGCCTTTCAACCAGATTTTCGGCCGAATGGAGGCGCCCCTCGACCACCAACCATAGGGGCGACTGAGGGATCAGCCATATATACGTGAAGAATGCTATGCAGGGCACGGATGTGGCCAACTGGACATATCGCCAGTTTCTGATGGACCACATGAGTAGTGGCACCAGTAATGCGGCCGTCATCGCGAAACAGGACCAGTATAGCGATGCCCTTAACTGATAGGGTGTGGCCAACAGTTCCAACAACAGTACGAATGTCGTTATCTGAAGACCCTATATGTGTGACACATATGGATGTCTGTTAGTGTCTCTTACTTTTTATCATAATTTAATTATTCATTGGACACTAAATTCACTGCTATATACCAGGGTCTGTCTGTGAGAGTATTATTTTCTTCTCTCACACTTAACTTATAAACTTTAAAACTTTGAACAATCAGTCATACAATACACGAATTCAATGCATACACACATTCACTCATTAATATAGCAATTGATTAACACCTGTATTAAGACAATCAAAAAACAATTACCGCCGCGAAGAACGACTCCAATGAGTATAAAATGGAGAACTGGAGGAAATCGGTGACGAAGTGGAGGGATACCGAAGACGACACGAACAGATAGAGAGTGATGAGAACGGTGTTCCTGCGCTCACACCTGTCCCCTATCATTGCCCACACGATTGCCCCCAAAATAGCGGCCACTTGGCTCAAGTAGAAGAGGGCGTTGAGGAGATACTTGCGCTCACAGACCAAGTCGTACTCAATCACCACATTATGCTCGTTGTCCGGAGCCCTGTATTGCCAGCCGTACAGACACTTCTGAGTGCCCTTCCAGTGGTTGTAAGCGTCGGTATACATGACACACGACTCGTATGTCTTCACTTTGTTCTCGTGTCTGGCGATGGGATACCATTCACTTTCGCTGATACTGGTGTTCACACCAATCATGTGACTCCCGGCTGACGTCCTGATGAGGCATCGGTGCGGCGGTTCATCCGAGTAGTGTTTCCAGAGCTGGTCCTTGAAGGCGATGGGGAACTGGAGACAGCAGAGGAGGAACGCCACGAATATCTGATATCTTCCAGGAGATCCCAAATGCAATAACACGTAATCCAATGGCGATAACATTGGGATTACTTTTTTGTCACTTTTACTAACTTTTGTAAACTAAGGACAAATGTTTTGTCTCAAGTTTTCACTCACTTTAACACATATTTACAAAGTTTTTGACAACTTTTTTGTTGTAAAACGACAGGAAATGGATTAAGATTTCTGTATCCCATTGTAAATAGCAATTTCACTGTCAATAGCTGTATCTGTTTGTCGAGTATAACTACTTTTGGAGTAATGTTGAGACGAATGGATAATCCTATGAAGAAGTAGTGGTCAATGTTGTGACCAAATAGTAAAACACATATGAAATAATGAAAACAATTTCCTAATCGCAGTACTTGTGGCACACATTTGGCTCAAAACTAAAATAATAATTTTCTCAAAAACAGGAATACATTACACACTAATCAGAAATAATGAGATTTTTTCTCATAATTTTACACAAAACTTCAACTAATTTGATAGCATTTTAATATAACACAAACACTACTGTTATAACAAGAGAGAGAAAAATTTTCAAATTATAATTTGCTTGTTTCGGGTCATTGTTTCGACTGCTTTTGGAGTCGAAAACTAACAAAAACTATATTTTCTTATCGAAATGAAAATAGAGAAATGAAACAGAAATTATTATAGATTTTGATATTTTGCATGAATTGCTTTTGTGAAGCGATTCCTCACTAAACAACTAATGATACAAATGTTGACAAAATTATGTTCAATACTACGGCTTTGCAAACTCCACCTGAAATGCAGTCAATTATGAAAAATAAAATCGGTGCTCATTAACCGTATCTACAGTTGCCTTTGATGCCATTCCCTCCTTGATATACAGTATGGTATACTGTATAATACCGTTCCCACAAAATAGTCGTCTTATTCCACAAAATAACGCTCATTATTATCATTTAAACTCGTTTTATACAGCATTTACTTCGTATTGTTTTCATATATTTTGCTTAAATTTGCTAAAAATCTCTGCAAATGATATGACACACCATAATAGCGTAGAATATCTTTCATTAAAATCTGT